CCTTGGATCCTCTATCAATGGTCATGGTAGCAGCAGTCAACAGGTCAAATGACACAATGCACTGGGCAAATCTGCTGCACAAGACCTCTTTTAGATGTTGAAAGCAAGGATGTTGGTTGCATTGATGACTAAGATGCACCTGAGTGAAACCACAGTATTGCCTCATGTTTAAGTTACACACTGAAGAAGGAAGCTGAGGAATAATTGATGCATTTGGATTATGCTGGAGAAGAAGATTGATAGTATATAACTGTCTTGGAAGAAGTACTGCCAGAATGTGTCTCACACACTATGAATATGTCTTTAGTAGACATCAGTCCCTGAAGAACATTATGTTTGGTAACTGAGAGGAAGGCAAAAAGAGAAAGGCCTTCAACAAGATGGGTTGACACAGTGGCTGCACAATGGGCTCAAACAGAGGAACAATCGTGGGAATGGAGCAGGACCAGCCAGTGCCTTGTTATGTTGAACTTGGGGACACAGTGAGTTGGAACCAATTTGAAGGCAAGTAAAAATAACAACATCAATTGAAATGTGTTTCCCAAGATTTGCATTGAATTCGAAGAGCTTTGTACCTATGGAAGGAGTTGTATTTGAAAATACGGGTGTGCTTTTTAGTTATTTTAATGAAGTCAGAAACTATAGATTATAAACCAGAACACATATAGTCACAAAGGAAAAGGCAGATGCCAAGGAATAAGGAACACAAAGGATTGCTGGGGGGCACCAAAAACTAGAAGAGATGCTGACATAAGAAATTGACAAGGCTGGATCCCTAATTTAAAATTACCAGCTATGGCAGTTACTTAATCTCCTGTCAATTTGGGAAGGGGTCAAGTCTAGCCGGTCAATCAGGTCACAGCCAATGAGGCCTCAGCTTGGGCATGGCCTTTTCCTGAGGATCCTGGGAACTCTGGTCTTCCTCCTGAGAGGTGGGAGACTAACTCTCTGCTTCACCTTCCCGCTAACAAGGCACATAGAGCTACACCGATAGAGCCAGAGCCCTGGAGCTGGAGGAGCATGTGGAGATCCCTGCCAGTGCTGAGATGCTTCCACCACCACTGGAACTACAACTTTCCACCCACTGACCTGTGATCTTCCTGCATTCGGTGTCATTGCATGTGTTGTGTGGGTCTGAAGAGGAATTTATAGACTGGTATCGGACACATGGGCTAATATTGGACTTATGGACTTGAACTGGATGGGGCTGGGATGTTTTCTGAATATACAATTGCTCTTTTATATAAAGCTTTTTCATAAACACATGAGTGTCTATGAATTTGGTTCTCTATTTGACCGGGACTGGACTAACATATTAGCCTTCAGAAACTCCGAGCAAATAAACTTCTGCTCTTTTTGCAAAGTTACCCATTATTTCTATGGGTATTAATTCTGCTATGACTGTACTGGGTAACTAAGACAACCTCTACTAACATTTTAGTGACTGTCATTTACAACTACAAGTAAATAATATGATGATATAGATTCATTAATTCACATTTGATTTCCATGTTTTCTAAATAATAAAATAATCTCATTGTTGATATTCAAGATACTATTACCTTATTATATTAAGTGTTTTCCCCTGAATGGTTTTTAATATTCAAACGGATGTTGGCATTTAAAGATGACATAGGTTGTTTTTGGCAAATAAACAAACAAAACACCTTGCATTTAAAGTGGTTCCTCGTTTATATGAAAGGGGAGGCACGTGGACTGCAATGGAAAATAAATAGTAATAATAAAAATACTGAGAACTGGACATGCGCTTTTGAAATACTCTTCATTATTCTTGAGGGGGAAAAATAAATCTTGTAAGCTTTAGAACATTATGTTCGGTTCTTTTTTGCCTTTCAAACTAAGCATGTTGCCAGGATTACTTTTTTTATTCTAAGCTTTTAAAATTTATAAGCAAAGCTTTTCTTTGAATCATGTTTTAGTATTTTTTATTCTATAATGTCACTTATTGGCCAATTTCCATAGTCTTCAGACAATACACTGAGTTTCACAAGGTTTTCAAATGTAAGTATTCCCTTTATAGAAGTGGGAGAGTGGTGATGGTGGAGGAGGAGTTAGAGGTTGGCAGGAAGCAGGAGAGTGCCATGCACCTTTTTGCATTGTGGTTTCATACTGGGTCTATTTCCATATTAGGTTTGGAAGTTGGCATGTATAGTAACAAGAATAAACTAGATGAAAGTTCATCATGGTTAACGTAGGGGAGTCTAAGAACTATATAGATCCCTATTACTTGTACTTCACTGACTTTAATGCAATGACATGGAAACTGACCAGAGATATTTTTCTAAAATTATTTCTATTATAGGATGTTTCAACATGAGATGACCAAATAAAATTATCTAATATATTTAGCTAAAATATTCCTATTAATTCTCACATCCCGCACATGACTTTGGGCTTGGATAAAAGCCGTTGTGGAATGCCTCGAGCATCCCCTGGCTGTGCAGACAGTGAACACACTCAGCTGCTGAGCTAGGGGGTGTGATTGATTGACCCGTTGGGCGGGTCTGCAAATGGTCTCAGCTATCTTCTGGAGATGGCTGCTCCTCGCTCCCTGGCAACGGCCCCTCTATGACAAGTAGACACCTGCCTTTCAAGTGCCGCAAAGAGGTGGGGGATAGCATGAACCTACAGGGCAAACAAGTCTTTTGAATTATGAAAATGAGCTTAAATGGACAATACATTTTCTAAAATTGAGTTTTCTAGGTGTGTTCAACACTTTACTTGGGCTCAAGTCAACCCCAATCCAAACTCTCTGCCATTAAATCGATTCACAGTGGGCTCGGTAGGCTGGACTCGACCTGTCTTTGTGGGCTTCCAAGGCTATCAATCTTTGAGGGAGCAGAGAGCCTGCAGAGTGGCTGGTGGGTTCAAACAGCTGACATTGTGCTTAGCAGCCCCTACATAACCCACTATGCCACCAGGAATCTTTTACTGGATATATGTAAATTAGAAATCCCAATATAATTTCAGAAATAATCAGTAATATGCTGGCTCAGGGGTGAGCTGAGCAGGTATATAAAGGGGGCAATGCTGACGTGCTGAAGCAGAGAAGAAACAGGCTCTCAGTGAGGCAGAGGTAGCCCTCAGGAGTCGGTGATGATATGGTTGTGGCTGAAAATGAAATCTAGTGTAGAAATGGCTAGACTTTACAATGGCCTTTAAGATAACTAGTTGTCTTAGTTTCCTAGTGCTACTAAAACAGGAATACAACAGAGGTTGACTTTAAATGACAATTTACTTTCTCACAGTTCAGAGGGAAGTCTGAATTCAAGGTACCATCTCTAAAGGAAAGCTCTCAGTTTTTGTAGGCTCAGGGTTCACTCAGTTTCTCTGCAATTTGGGGGTTTGCCTGTTTCTTGACCTAATCTGCTCCTTAATAGCACTTAAAGGTAATTGGCCTTGGGGCACATAATACATCTATTTCCCAAAAGGATTATATTCACAGGTATAAGAGTTAGAACCCCAACACAGCACAATTCCATGATGGGGATCTAACCTTCAGCAGTTCTCAACCTGTGGGTTGTGACCCCTTTGGGAATTGAACAACCCTTTCACAGGGGTTTCCTGATTCATAACAGTAGTAAAATTAGAGTTATGAAGTAGCAACGAAAATCATTTTATGGTTAGGGGGTCACCACAACATGAGGAACTGTATGCAAGGGTCACAGTATTAGGAATTTTGAGAACCACTGCTCTATACCATTATTTCTCAAAACTGAGTAAAACTCAGCACCTTTGGGTCGATTCATAGCCTACAGGACAGAGTAGAACTGTTTCTGTGTGTGTCCAAGAGCACCAATCTTTAGGAGAGTAGAAAGTCTCATCTTTCTCCTGCAGAGTGCGTGGCTTGTAGTTTCGAACGGTCCAATGTAGAATCTACTACACCACCAGTGACACGAAACAATAGGCTCAGGCTATGAGCTCTCAAAACGTCATCTTGAGCATCCTGTAAGGGATGCGGTATTACCAAGAACTATTTGTTTGATCTTTCCTGAACAATATGATTTGAGACTTTTTCTTCCTAGGAAAGTGCAAAATGCCCATGTAACTATTCTCACTTGAAAGGTGAATAAAGACTAGATATCTACAATACACAGGATAAGCAGCCTGGGTTTTATGGATTTCCAAGTAATGTAGACCCCTCTCTCTCTCTTAAATGTCCAAGGACAAAATGGAGGTTTAACAACAACAACCAAGGATCCCAAAGCGACCCTGCAAATGGCTTCAAAACCATTAGTCTAATCCAAGAGGTAAACTGTACAATTTTAAAACTAAAGCAAAAAGTGCCAAAATAACTTGTTCATTGTAAAATGGTTAGAATAGCATATCTTAAATGTTATAGGACAAAAAAACTAAATAGCAAGACTACACAGAAAATAAGTTTTCCATAGTTTTTAAATGTAGTTTTTAAGTTTCTCTAAAACACTGTTTCACATCTGTCTCATTTCAGGGTTCCAAGGACTTATAAATTTTGAACTGGATCTTTCCAAGCTCTATAAATTCTTTTTGGAGACTTTCTGATGCATATTTTTATCTCTATACAAGCTAAAAATTATATGCACAATCTTCAAAAACTCCAAATCAGTTACAGTTGTGCAAGAGAGATTAAATGACATGCACACAAATGTTTAAAAAAAATTATATATGTATACCATCTTATGTAAGCTAGAAAACAAAAGGCTTTGGCACTTTTTCTTAAGTCCATCCCAGGGAATTGTGTGAAAATAGTATGAGCTTTCAGTAATTCCACTACCATAGATATTCTACTAGAAACAAAAAAATTGCATTGTAAGATTGACAGCCAAAAATGTCTACTATTACTAAGTATCAATTGGTATTATTGTTCATCTTTCAAAAATAATCACACATTTATTGTCTCAGTTCTTCTGGAAAGCCACCTTGTGGTATGATTTTATCTTCATTTGAAAAACAAGCAAGACGACCTAGAAAGGAAACGTCTCCTCGCCCTGTTGCTCGCCATGTCTGGCTCTTCCAGGGTCGCCGCCATGAAGAAAGTGGTTCAGCAGCTCCGGCTGGAGGCCGGGCTCAACCGTGTGAAAGTTTCCCAGGCAGCTGCAGATTTGAAACAGTTTTGTCTGCAGAATGCTCAACATGACCCCCTGCTGACTGGAGTATCTTCAAGTACAAATCCCTTTAGACCCCAGAAAGTCTGTTCATTTTTGTAGTAAGATGAATCTTTCAAAGGTTTCCTAAGTCATTTCTCATGAACCAGTGACCATTCAAGGAGAGCTAAATTTGAAGCTGTACAAAAGCTCGTCTTCACAGTTACAGGTGCCATACTATACAAACTTCTGCTTTTGTCAGTCCTCAACATCTACCTCTCTGAATTTTCATGAATTTCTATTTCACAAGGGTTGTTTTATATACACTGGCAGCTGTATATAATAAAATAAGTAGTACAAAAAAGAAAAAAAGAAAAAGAAGCAAACAGTGGCTTAGCGAACCTAAGTCCAGTCAGTTCTATTACATAGCTAGCCACCCTATAGGACAGGGTAGAACCCCCTGTGAGCTTCTGAGGCTGTAAATCTCTATAGAAACCAAAAGTTTCTTCTTCTCTGTCAGTGACTGGTGGGTTTGAACCACCATCCTTACAGTTATCAGTCCAACGAGGAACCCACTCTGCCACCAAAGGACCTTACATCAGTAGGGGTAATGGAATTGAGACCAAGGGTACTAGCTCAGGAATCTCTCTGTGGCCAATGGAAGAATAAAGAGAACTGAAATTAGTGAAAAGCCCTTATAGAGTGCAAATGGTTACTTTACTCAGGTACTAAAGAAAAGGTGACAGTTCAAATCCATCTATAGGTGCTCAGAAGGCCTGGTGGTCAATGTCTGAAAAACCAGCTATTTGAAAATCCTATGGAGCACAGGTCTACGCTGACATACATTTCTGCAACTAGTAAAGTAAATTACTAAGGGCTCAAGATAGAATAACTTCCCACATGTTTAATTATTTAATTCTACGAAATGCCTTTGGAGCCCAAGTGGTTATGCATGGCTGCTACCCATAAGGCCAGCAATTTGAATCCACCAGTTGCTCTTCGGGAGAAAAAGGTTTTCTACTCTCATAAAGAGCCACACTCTCGAAAACCCACAGGGGCCATTCTACCCTGTCCCATAGGGTCGCAATGAGGTGGAATTGACTAGATGGCAGTGAGTTTACAACACACCTTTTGAGTGAAGATTTTACTAACTCTATTTTTCAAGGCGGAGACAGACGCTTATGCTAATCCGCTGACTAGCTGCATCTTGTAGGTAGCCGGTCTAGTCGGAGGTTCACATGATTGCAAAGGCCAGCTTCTCGCTCTCAGAAAAAAAACTCAGAGGAAGCTAAAATAGTCACTCCTTTCCCACTTGTTTGTAGTGATATTTTCTCATGTGAGTAAGAAGAGGGATGAATGCAAACATCAAGTACCATTTGGGCCAGGTCTGTGGGCTCTTTATTTGGATGTTCTTTTAATATTGAACTCCTAGAGGCACTTCTGCAGAAGTTGCCCCTGGAGGCTAAAACAAGATGGGTAGATTTTAGGAAGCATGTATCTGTGATTGTTTAGCTGAGCAGGCCCATGGATAACTAGACAACAGTCAATAGCACCATTTCCCAGAGTGCAGAGATTTTTCACACAAAAAAGTGAGGCTTCACTCTCACTACTGGTCCTGAGGGGTTCATCTGACCTGGATTCCTGTATTTCATGTTCCTATCTGTGCCAGTGTACATCCTCCAGTCCAGCTGGATACGTAAGGTAGAATTGGGATCATGATAGTGGGGGGGAGGAAGCATTCAAGAACTGGAGGAGAATTGTATATTTCATCATTGCTACACTGCACCCTGACTGGCCCGTCTCCTCCCCACAGCTCTTCTGCAAGGGGATGTCCAATTTCCCACAGATGGGCCCTGGGTCCCCACTCCGCACTCCCCCTCATTCTATGATTTTTGGGGGGTCTTTGATGCCTGATACCGGGGCCATTCAACGCCTTGTGATCTCACAGGCTGGTGTGCTTCTTCCATGTGGGCTTTCTTCACTGCATTTGCTTATGCACCTGCTTTGTCTTGAGTGTTGTGTCGGGGTAGGCCGGTGTGCTGCTTCCATGTGTGCTTTGTTGTTTCTTAGCTAGATGGCCGCCTGTTTATCTTCAAGCCTTTAAGCCCCCAGATGCTATATCTTTTGATAGCCGGGCACAATCCGCTTTCTTCAGAGGGTGGAGGGAAGGTGAGGGAGAAAGGGGAAACAGATTACAAGGTCTACATATAACCTCCTCCCTGTGAGAAGGAGGGCGGAGAAGTGGGTGAGGGAAAATGTCAGATGGTGTCAGATATGACAAAATAATAATAAATTTTAAATTATCAAGGGTTCACGGGGGGGTGGGGGGGGATGAGGAGCTGATACCAAGGGCTCAAGTAGAAAGCAGGTATTTTGAGAATGATGATGGCAACATATGTACAAATGTGATTGACACAATTGATGCATGGATTGTGATGAGTTGTATGAGCCTCTAATAAAATGATTTTATAAAATGAAATGTGCTGGGGAAAAAAAGTGAGGATTCATGCAAATCTGTTGGAAACGGCGCATTCTGCAACCTTCTTCTCTGAGGGCTCGCAACGCCTGTAAGCACGGAGAAAGCCCTGAGCACTACTGCAGAACAAAGGCCGGTTCACTTGGTTTAGCGGAGTGTTTCCCAAGTGTAAGGTCTATTAATATTCCATACAACAACTTCTGATGTTTCAGACTAACTCTGAAAATAATCGGTGACACTGTTTTTTCCTTTACAAAATTTTACCGTATATGACAAAGGGTTCAACATTTCAATTAGCTTTTCAATTTTTCTGGAAAATTTTTGAAGCCCCTCATATAGTAGGAACTTTAGTGCATTATTCTATGGGTATAAGCCACTGGTTCCCAACGTGAGTGATACCACCCTCTGTGGGTACTGGAACGATTCAGGGGAGCTACAGAAGCGGATACCTATACTTTATCCTAGATTGTGGGTTACAGTACAAACGTTTTCAATTGCCAGGGCAACACTGAATAATTATTATTATTTTTCTGAAAATGAGGCAGTAAAGCCAAATAAATTTCAGAACCTACGCTATAGACAATAAATGGTTCCAGAGCCAATGAGATTAAATGACATGAATTCTTGCTCTAAAATAAGTCGTTAGGTCCAGTCAGTTCCGATTCCCTGTCACCTTACTTAACACAGAAAGAAACACTGCCCAGTCCTGCACCATCCTCACAATTGTTATGTTCGAGTCCACTGTTGCAGTCACTGTGTCAACCCATCCTGTTGAGGGCCTCTACTTTTTGCTGACCCTCTACCAACGTCCTTTTCCAAGGACTGACGCCTCTAAAAATCACAGGACCTTGAAAACAGCCTGGTCCTCTAATGAGTGGTGCTTTTGCCTGGACTGGTCTACGATGCCTCAGCAGGATGACATATCAGAGGTAAACAGGATAGCACGCCCTGGCACTCTCTAATGGTTTGATCCAGGGCTGCCAAGGAGCAGGCTAAGGAGCATTAGCTAGTGGCACTGCAGCACGTTGTTCCATGATGTTGTTCTGCTCTCTCGCTTTGCTATACTTGTTCTCTAATGGGTACCATTTTCAAACATCAGGTTTGGTCAGGTCAGGTTATAATTTTGACCACGAAATGTTGGAAGTAGGAATATTAGGCAGGTGTCCAACAACTTAAGAGGTTTGCAGGATAATACACCTATAATTTTCCCCTAACTACATTATTAGCAGGGATTTATAATACCAGGAGCATTTCTAAATTTAATGATAATTCTGATAAAAATAATAAAGTGCTCACATTATGCATAGAAAGTGATCATATAGGATGGATATATACATAGGGACTTTAAAAAGTTCATGGAAAAATTATATTACCTTTTAATTTAATCTTCCTATGAACCTTCTGAAATTCTCTGTGTGTGTGTATGTGTACATAATACAGAAAAAAACTAATACAGATGTTGTGTTATAGTCAATATTATAATTATGTGTGATATATTATAATTCTGGACTTCATATGACTGGCTATCCTCCCATTTTGGAGGGTATTATCAATTTATGAACAGAAATAGGGAGATGTTCATATCTGACCTTAGTAGAGGGTATTAATTGGACCTCACTCCATTTATAAGTTATCTTGATAACTGTCACTTGTACTGCAAGTAAAGAATGATATTCTACAGCTGAGAGGAGAAAGTTGCTTCTGGAGTGGCCTGGGAAAAAAGCCTGGTTGATTAAGATTAGTAGTAGGCTAGAGGCCCAGGCCATATGTGCATATAATAAGATTAATAAGATACAGTCCAGGAGTGGAGAATAGATTATTATATTTGAGTCACATTAAAAAGGTGAAGGGTTGTATGTTATTTTGGTTGCATTATTGATACTCAATGTAACTTCCACTAAACAACCACTATTGATAAGATTTACCCGTGAGTAATTATGAACAGGATTCCTGCAACAGCACCCTGGTTTGTATAAAATAAGCCCTCTGAGAAGCATGGGGTGGGACCTCAGCACCAGCACTAGGCAGCGGTGGAGCGCATCCTCTGGATCCAGCATCTTCTTACCCCTGCCTAAACTTCAGCTTTTTGAACGGAAAAGCACTCATCACCACGTGAGACATTTCCTCAAACGCTTATGAATTTCTGTGGGATGTTGTAGCAAGTCACATAATCCAGAAATGTGAGGGACTATATACATAAGGGAGGAGTGGTTGGGCTGGGGGATCAGGAGGGGATGGAGCTAAATGGCTTCATGGAAGAGTCGGACATTTGTAGCATCATCAATTCCCAACTCCTTCGGACTAGTCTGGAATTAATTTTTTAAAGAGCTTATCACCACAGATATAAAAAGATATTCTGAAGCTTGCTCTTGAACATAGCACAGCTAAAACAAAAGGAAGAAGTGATGAAGAGCTAAACAGCAGCGACAGGAGAGCAGCTGGAGAAGGCAGAGTATTGTGATGAAATGTGCAAAGACCTGGAGTTGGAAAGACAAAAGGGAAGAACATGCTCAGCATTTCTCAAGCTGAAAGAACTAAATTGACAAAGTCAAGTTGCAATATTGTAAGATTTGAGGTGTAAAGCGCTGAATGACACCAGAGTTTAAAAGAAAAGAGCAGGAATACAACATTATATTACCAAAAATGATTGGTTGATATTGAAACATTTCA